TTTATTGGGCAAGTCCACAGAAAGATTAGTCATGAGACATGACTAAAACATGACTACCCGTAGACACTCAGTGTTTCTGCCTTCCGGCTTCATCAATACGGAAGGAATCAGCAACGATGAACTAGCGATCCTGAAAAAAGAAAAAGGAGAAGCAAACGAGGCACAAAGGCGCCATTTGCAGCCTGATTAGGCAGTAGCTTACAATTTGAAGCGTTACTACCGAAAAACCGCTGCGGAGGCGTTCCAACACACAATAAATTCTTTCTTCTTTTTAAAAAAATAAATAGTTAACTTCAAAAGTTTGCCTTGGGCCGATTTCTATGCACGCAAGTGTAGTAATTTTTCAAAGTCATGATCAATTTTCAATGTTTTAACTATACCTATTTTGGTTGCTTCAGAATGAGAGGTTAAATACTGTCTCGTATGTGTGGGTTGGCGTTTCTACTGACATAAGAACATCCAGAAACGGTAGACAGAAAGTTTTTTTAGTAAATCTGATTAAGTTTCTCTGTGGATTGAGATGGTTTACCGATGGGTTCGAGCGAATATATGGAATGGTTTGAGACCAATGCCATTAGTACCACAGTCGTCAAACCCAAAATCTCGCTTCGATATATTGACGATACACTTATAATTTGGAATGGAACCAATAGACAGTTGGATTCATTCCTCAATCATGGAGAAATTGACATTGAAAGTCAACAATACATTTGTATATATTTGACGGGAATAAAAAGTATATATCTATTAGTTTTCGTGTAGATGATACCATATTCTTAATTTTTTAGTGGATTAGACAAACTTGTTTACAAGTAGAAGTGAGTGGTGAAATACCCGGTTTCCTTTTCCACCCGCTATATACTAGCTTAGAGACAATTACTGCATATCGACTTTGGTTATTAATATTAACCCAAATCAATTTAGTCGATTACGAACAGCCACCACGTCACATTGTACTACGATTTCTAATCAAGGTCTCCGAATAATACAGACAAATAAGCAAATGGTAAATGACGAGCGAAGGTCAAGCCAAACGTATCATTTGTACGGATGAAAAAACGATAATTGGTGTAGCGTAATGGCCGAGGTAGTTTAATAAAAAATTACCCAAACAGCCGGCAAACAACTTGTTGATTTTTTTCGGGTTTCAGTGGTTAGAAGTGAAGTTTACCAAATTCAGAATGAAATCTATTTTCGATAGCAACATATCTTTTGTGGTGAATATTTATTAATCCTTCATGGTAAATATTATTTTATTATCATTTTTGCATAGACTAAAGAATGTACAGCATGATCGAAATAAAACGGCGTCAAGTTGACTTCGAACGACTATCAATATCATTTACCATATAATTTTACATACCGGGTGGTGCATCGTCTTTTGTGGTCCAGGTTGTAAGTAGTTATGAGCAAGACCGGTGTTGGGGTCTTGGGGTCTTGATTTGGTCTTGGTCTTGAACAAAAAGCAAAACCAAGACTGGCATTTGATCTGCAATACCAAAGCAAGTGAGTCTTGGTTTTGCATTTGCTCATCACTAGCTGTAAATTACCAACATCAATCTATGATTTGCAATAAGAAATCTAGCGTTGACAATTAGCTCATTTAGTTTTGGGCACCTATCTAAATGAGCAATTGTCAACTTCCAAGATACAATATGACCGAAAAAAAAACGGCGTCAGCGATGGCTATGAAATGAAGATCGCTGTCATTTTATATGTAAAATTATATGGGGAATGTGTCATCGATGTTCATTTCCAAGTATACAATTTCTCGAAATAACAACGTTTAATAATAATAGGCATGATGACTGAAGAATTTTAAGAACAATGCACCGTAAATATCTTGTCGGATAAATAAATTTTCTGTTTATAATTGTGTCGACGTGCTGTGTTAAAAACTGACAAAGAATAAAAACTTTCCTTAATTTTAATTTGGGCATACAAACAAGAGAGTAAGTAAAGTAAAGTATGAGGTTGTTAAGATGTACTTAATAATTATGTTTACAGACTCTCAGTGCACATTACATATAGACAAACATATTTATATACACATAAATTGAGTCTTTATTGCCCAGGAATGCAAATGTTTATGTTATAACCGTTAAATTTTAACTAAATCTTATAGTTTGTTTATATTTTTAATTAGTCCTTTATGCACTTTATTTAAATTTACGTAATAAGTAGCAATGACATTTGAACTGATTATAATATCTAAAAAACAAATAAATGTGAAGACATGAATTAAATCGGTTTCTTCATGTTTTATTTGTAAAATATCCATAACATAAAAGTTCCATAACCAACAACATAAAGCGCTAAGTGCCACGGCTATTAAATTGTATTGGAAAAAATTCTCAGCATAGATACTGCCCGTTCTTGTTCGTTAGTTATGGAACAAAAGATATTGTTTATCTCAAAATAATGATTTTCGCACTTAGAACATTATTTAATCAAGTCTTCAAATATTTGGATTTAGAACACATTGTACAAAATTGTCCTCATTTTTGACCGTGATCAATGAAATGGAACAATAATTATGAAATTATTATAAAAATTTAAGCATTATAAACTCTCTTTATTAAAGAGTAGATACGTGTGTGTCTCTTAAATCAGTGCAAGTTTCTTAAGGGATGGTAGATCTGTACATACAATTTGTACAAATGAACTATATTTTCTATTTACCACTTTGAAATGACGAATCATTTGACTTTGAAAATTTAAAAAAAATAATGCTGACATTGTGTTCCCACATAGACCAAAAAGGTATACGAAGTGCTACAAATTCGGGGTACAAGCATTGGTATCTCGTAAACTGTAATAGATACGAAGATGTTTAAATTGGGGCAAGGTTCCGCCTTGGAATGTTCACCAAGATGGCATCAAGAAAGGTTTAAACATTTCAAGGACTGCTGAGTTTTTTGGAAAAAAACGGATTTTTTTGATAATCAATTTATTTTTTTCCTGTCGTTACTTTTTAAAAAATCAAAAAACGAATTACACATTCTCATAGGGCTATCTGATTAAATTTTCAAACTAGCTGATAATTTGTGACATACAGTGGCCAACTTAATTTTTTTAAATACGGACCTGCATTTTTTATTTCAGATTTTGAAAGAACTCGGTCGCCTAAGTACAATGATATGCCACACTTTATACTTTTTTTTTTGTTTTGGGTACCTTAATAACAACAAAACTATTTAAATATTATTAAAAATAATTTCAAGTCCGACTCTGTTTATTTAAATTATTGAATTTGAATTTATTCATCGCAACAGTATTGATCAGCGCTAATTAACATTGAATAAGAAAAATCGAGCCAATTGAAAGATTCAAATAAATAATATCCAAGCCAGAAATTTAAAGATATTATTTTTTAACTTTTTTTATTGTGAATTTGAAATCTCAGTGCACGATAATAATATGCATAATACTAATCGTAGTTATTGTAAATTAACTTCTACAAACTAGTTTATACATGTTCGAAGGGGTTACCACCCTTCCTATTGCACAAATTTATTTTTCGTTCAATTTCATTTATAGCTCTTTGAACAGATCTTCTTCTAATAGTCCCGAATACATTTTGTACTCTTTATTGTAAATGTTGAGATGTATTTATTTCACTTTTACAAATGACGTCAAGCGATAACCCCCCGTTAGCAGTAATTACTAATGAAATATAATATTGCACATGAATAAATAAAACACAACAGAAATGAAACTATAAATATTTTACTTCCTAAATTCGTCGTTTATGCGCGCCAAGCACGCGATTTCAAATTTCAATAAATGATTGAAATACTTTCCAAATGGAATTTGTACAAACCGACTTAACATTTTATATATTTTGAATAAAAATGTATTAATAATTATGTGTAATGATAAATGGTTATATTTTACCCGACGCGCGCAAGGGACCCATTCAGTAACACTTATAAATAAACTTTCGGCTAAACTTTACTACCACATAAAATTTAAATTTATTATTGTAGGTTTATAATTCTTTGATAAGATTTTTTTATAGTTATGCAATACATTTTTTTATAATTATCGAATGTAGTGGCAGTGGTTCGATTAGTTTGTTATCACATGTGCGTAGGATGCATCGCGGCGAGCTTCGCATCGAGATGCCCCACCATGTTTGTACCCTAAACTATAGTACTATCGAAAATCTTCAATAAAAAAGAAGATATATAAATTGACAAATGGTAAATAATTGTACAATTACAAATAATATGTTGCTACGCACTAAAAACAGCATACTGACATTTTTTCTAATGGGTTAATTGTTCGTCAAGTGTCTTGAAAAGCGCGTGTATTTTTTACTAAATAACTAGCATTAAAATGTCTATTTTTTAATTTATTTTTATTTTTATAGTTTAAAATAGAAAATAGTCTTTCTACAACGGCGCAACGCGGCGTATCCATATCCATAGTGTAATAGTAATAATAAAGATTAGATATCTGCATTCTTCAGAAATTGTTAATATTAAACGAAATTAATGATATACATATTAGAACAGTGCAATTGCTGGAACTCATATTTATTATTTTTAATACACCATCATTATTGAAGGGTCCAGGGGAAAAACGTGATAAGTGCCATTTTACTAATTTTACAGGAGAGCACTGGACGGCTGGTGGTTATCAGGTTGTTTCTGTGTATTCTATATTTTACTAGGCATGTCCTACGATTTAACAACTTATTGCCCTGCAGAATTTATACATTTTGTAGGGACCAGTTGACGCTTATCAAGTGTTTCCCCTGCACCAACAATTGTTGATTTCCAAAACTGAAAATAAATGTTCATCTTCACTATGATACTATGTCTCTGCTATAAAATGCCAACAAATAGAAGGAATATTTAAACACTATACTATATTACAGCGACTATCTCACTTTAAATGTCTAGTCTCCCGGTCCTTCTTCCCATCTTTAATTGAACCGAATTAACTTAATCAGATACAGTTTATTCTACATGTGCCTTTTTTTTCCGTTGCAGAATGGTCTTGGAGCCCAAGTTCGTCGACTATGGCAGCATACACCCGACATCCGACGGACACAACACGCACCCGGCCCATCACGGCGCAAGCCTAGTTGGGCGATCGGCACTGTTGCCGCCTTTGGACGACGCGGACGCCACCCCCAACACGTCGAACGGCGCCAAAATGACACAAGGTAGGTAGCTGGCAACGTGGCGCGTCTCTATGTCCCTCCATTGACGTGCGATGTCTTTTTAAATATGAAACTAGAAATTGTTATTAGGTTTCCTATTATTATTATTTATAAGAAGTCTCCGCTATCGATATTTGCGGTTGTGGAAGAAAATTGTTTAAAACTCCATAACTTAACGGATATTAATAGTACAGTTAATGTTGGAACCTTTGGCATTGCAGCAGCAAAATAAAATACTAATTCACAATATTATACACCAAAACACTTTACTTTAAATTATGGATGCGCGTTTCGCTAATCATGTCATCATCAGCAGATGATTAAAACGAAGTTCCGTAATGTTAATCGTCTGCTTATAAGTAATGATGCGCAATACGGTTCTCTTTAGTGAATCGAATCACGTGATTCGATTTCGTATAATGAGTCGACTCTTACGACTCGTTTATTTGAACAAACTGCAAACGCATTTTGCGAATGACAGTTAAAATAGTTTTTTTCACTTCTCACTTCTTTGTAATAATGAAGACAGCTAAATTATAGTTTATTTTATTATATATTATATAAAATTGGTATAATAGATTTCTATGTACGATATAATATATTTTTTTACTAAATTAATTATCTAAATTTATATCATTGATGTTACCTATATTACAAACGTTTGGCTACCCATGCTCATAGTATAAATTCCGATATTTATTTTTTAAGTGAACCGTATTGTAAGCAATAAATCAATTATCACGATTCTTTGAACGAAAGAATCGCATTGTGATGCGATTCAATTCTTACGACTCGTTCGTTCAAATTTTATGGATCCATGCTGGTCACGGGTCAACTGAACGAACGAGCCGTAGTAACCAACCGTACTGTAAGGAATGAATAAATTCTCGCTATTATTTGAACGAACGAGCCGTAGGAACGAACTAGTTGCTTTATGATCAGTTGAATTCTATAAACAAAACTTAGTTATATCTTATGTCATCCACAAATTTAATAATAAATTGTAAGAAATGAGTGAATTCTCACTATTATTTGAACTAGGGTTCAGAACCGGAATTTCCGGATATTTTAAGATATCAAAAAACCGGGACTCGAAGTTATTAATTCCCGGTTCTTTCGGTATTTTCGGAACTCGGTAATAATAATTAAAAACATATTTTTTGTTACGTGCGAAAGACTTTTGATACTTTCTAGCGGTCGAAATCAAACTCTTCTAAATTAGTAATGAGGCTATTTCTTATTGTTTCTGCTTCATTTCTCTTTTGAAGTTCCTATAATATTTATTATCTTATGTTTTAATATATATTTGCATTTTTAATTCAATATTTTAGGGCTTTCGTTTCAAATTCAGTTAAGTTGGTTTATGTTGTTTGATGTGAGATTTAAGTTACCTATTCTCTTGTCTTTACTTGTGTTCATGTTAGTTTTCTCACGACTGATCTATAAACAAAACTTAGTTAAATCATCCACAAATTTCATATTAGCTGAAATCTACGACAGTTACAGCCCCGAATTTGATTTTTCAAACCGAGGCCATAATCAATGCCCTCATCCACCATTTTAGATTTATTACTTTAGAAAATTTACATTGAATTTGAACCCCTATAATTATCACCCAACTGCGGTTTGTCAGCCCTTATGTCCATGACTACACTGTAAATCTACAATTATGATTTTAAATCAAGCTACAATTCTCAATTGGTCCAATAGTTAACAGATCGCCTTTCTAGTTTAATGGCATTTGAATAAACTGAACGTCTAATATTTATAACAATTATTGTTATGGTGGTAAATTACCTAAAAATATAAATAAGTACATTGTTAAACCACAAAAGTTAAAAATTGTAATACTTTCATATTAAAATGAAGCCTCCAGCATAATAATAAGTTATAATTCTCTTATCTAATTATGTCAGAAAACAAGTAAATTAATAGTGTTCTTAAAGCTGCTGGTGGTTTCATTCACACATAGTTCATTTATTTCCTGTTCAATTTATTAATATTCGAAATATCTCACTGGGCTTATTAAAAAATATTTGAATATTTCACGTTGAAATATTATGCACAAAACTTGTTTCAATATGGAAAAATACTAATATCAGAAGATATTAGGGACTACTGTATTAAATTTAGCATAACTAGATCACATCGTTGATTGAATAAATAAGAAGATACGCAACCTTATGGGGGATTTCATGGCACAAATCAATAGTTGCAAAAATTGGAAATCGCCAATATCCAATTATTTTCTGATTTGCTTTAGGCCCATTGCCTTTTTCAAAAAAAATATTTAACGACAGCTCAGATCGAAATAAACATAACAATAGTTTTTCACATTACCTTCGTACGTATTAATTTTGTATAACCTTCTGAATTCGTTTATTATAAAGTATTAAAATTTTGTGGCGCTCAGTCACTCTAACGGTACCGATGTTCTCAGTGCGATGCATACCAGATAAAACATGTATTTTTCTAACATAATTTGAAAACGAGAAAATTAAAAGTGACGTTGAAGTAGTTTATGTATATAGTGACTGATGGTTTAATGGCAGTTTTTAACAAATGTCTAATATTTTCAAATAAAAGAGTGGATTGGTGCCTGTAAAATGCACAGCAATTAAAAAACGAATTACGAAATAGGTATAAAGTATCGAAAAAAAAGTAAGTCTTCTTCTTTTTAATATTTATGCGCAAGTGCTATACTAAAATAGTATATATTTCTACTTTTTATGCACCTTTAATGGGTGCCTTTAATAAATAATAAGATAACTAAACTTTTACTACTTTTATTTTTACTGTTACCTTTACTTTTACTTAACTAAAATTCTTAGATGATAAAAATCTTTCATATTGTATTGTGTACATGGATACTGTCTTCAAAGATAATATATTATGGATAATATCAATCACCTAACCAGATATTTCTTTAATTTTCAAAAAAGTATTTTTAAAGACATATTTATCACTGTACATATAAATCTCATGCAGCATCAGTTGAAAACAAAAAGCAGATAAGATTCCTTTTGAACAATGGCATACTTTTTTTCTATTAGAATTTACTGACATTATTGTACAAACAAATCTTCAGTATATTTGTTTTGTGATGCAAAGTTGTCTTTAAATATCATAAAAATTATATTTGTTATTTTTCGCACTAAACTAGCGTTTGTATATACCATATACAAATATAGTTAGTATACATTATTCCGTAAGATCGAATAAAAACGGCGTCAACGATGGCTATGAAATGAATATCGCTGTCATTTTATATGTAAAATTATATGGGAAATGTCGTCGATCGTCATTTCCAAGCCAACTGGACTAGACCTGTTCGGTGTTGAGATTTGAACACCGGTGTTAGGTGTTGATAACCACCGGTGTTTCAGGCGGTATACCGGTGTCAACACCGGTGTTCATTTCAGCACCGGTGTTTATCTCGACACCGGTGTTCATCTACAACACTGGTGTTCATCTACAACACTGGTGTTTATCTTGACACCGGTGTTTATCTCAACGCCGGTGTTTACCTCGAGACCGGTGTTTATCTCAACATCGATGTTTATCTCAACACCGGTATCGCGATGAACACCGGTGTCGGTGTCGATGGTGCCGTTTGGTTTTTTAGTTTTTTTAATGTAATATTTTTTAGTTTATTTTACAGCTACGAATTTTTGTTTCTTTATGTTTTGTTTTGTTTTCTATTTGTTTTTGATTAAACAATTTTTTATTTTATAGTTGTTTATTTGATGCTTTCACTTTATTTTAGTGATTAGTCTGGCAAAAAATTATATTTAAATTTTAAAGCTTTAAGTTAAAGTCGGTGCACTTTAATAAACGATAAAAATAAGCACCGATACGACATTATTATTATCAGGTTTATTTTGAATATATTAATTAACATTATTTCTTCTTTAACCCGTTTACCAAACACCGGTATCGATATCAAAAGCGGTGTCGTAGCCAAAACCGGTATCGAGATGAACACCGGTGTCCAGACCAACACCGGTGTCGAGATAAACACCGGTATCGAAATGACCACCGCTGTCGGTGTCAATACCGGTGTCGGTGCCGACACCGGAACACCGGATAGCCTATATTTGGCCACCAGTGTCAGCCCAACACCGGTGTTAAAACGGTGTTCCAGTGTTTGGAACAGGCCTAAACTGGACGCCATTTTTTTTCGATCATACGGTAGTTCAAATAATGTATAAGTAATATCAATAAACTTTTAGTCACGTGAGTAAACTTGACCGGCACAGCGTTGCCCACTTTTACATATTTTCTTTTATTACAGTTGAGGGATGGAACCTTTGGTGTTACACAGCAAAATAAAAACACTAAATCACCACAATACATCAAAACTTTGACTTTTACACTGGACGCGTATTTCGCTTCGTTTTTTGAGTTTATAATCATCTGCTGATGATGCTAACATGGTTAGCGAAACGCGTGTCCAGTGTAAAAGTGTTTTGGTGTATTGTGGTGATTTAGTGTTTTTATTTTGCTATTTTCTTTTAATCAAATTTTTTTGCCAACGAACATAAATAAATTACAAATATATAAACAGTTATTATTTACTTAAGGGACATAAAGGGCCATTACTACCGCTTTCCCGTCCAAATATTCTAATGAAGTTGCAATGAGTTACTATTAAACCTTATTAAACTATCTTGTACACTTACAGAGGGAAATTTAAATTCTAGTTAGTCAGCCCGGCGCCAAATATGACCATGGTTGGCAACAATGAATTTAAAAATCGCGCCCTCGATTATATAACTAAAAGTTTAATTGGTATCGAATATATATAAAAATAGTTTGTTTTGTAATGAAAATAAATTACTGTCAAACTTTCTCTGATGTACTGTGTGTATAATTTATTTTTGTTAAAAAACTATGCGGCGGATTCATCTTTCCAAAAAATCCTATATGGGTATTTCGCCACTGCACTGCAAGAAAATCTACAAAACAAATATGACTGTAAAAAATAACTATTTTATTTTGTA